TGTGGAATAATTTTATCACTATGTATTATCAAATCCAAGATCAACGGCTTCGTGACTGTAGCTTCAAAAGAATATTACAATATAAACTATTCAACAGGTGAACTATTGAAAAAAAATTAAAATGTGGTGAACTACAGATCCACGAGACTCCTTTTCTTTATCACATTTTTGTACCACTCTGCAGATTTCTTGGCAGTTCTTTTTCTGTCGGGGTCAGCGAAGTCGACATGATATAAACCAAATTTTTCACTGGAAAATAAAAAAATTGTCAAATCACAAAACACCAATATCACCCTGAAAAATTCACCTCAATCATATTAGTCATAACAGAACATACAGACAGACAGATAATATATTTCAGTCCAAATGTATATACCAGGGGTTGGTAAGGAGTTTTAGGTGGGGTCCGGATACTGTGGGAAAATTTTAAGGCGGTCCAGAAAAAAACAAACATTAATGATAAAGTGCTACATATTATTTCAGTTTCAAATCACATTCTGAATTATAAAAGAAATACAAGACCTCTTATTTATGTGAGAAATTACACCGACGGTCCTGAGCCAGTTTTTTAAAGTTTGGTTCTCGAGAGGAACAGCAAATTCGAAACGTGTCTTCTAGGTGAGCGTCTGTTAATCTCGAACGATATTTGTTTTTAAAAAAATTCATCTTCGAGAAATATGTACATATGTATGTCGAGCCAAACATAGTGGCCAAATTGATGGCTAGCCTTTTACAATTGTCATATTTTTCTGGGACATGTTTGGCCCAAAATTCTCCAGTGAATACCGTTCTATACCTACATTTGCATCAATTTTAAATGGAGATATAAGAAACGGAGACAGCTTACCAGAGTCTTGGAATCTTGTAGCAAATTTGTTCTTAAGATCTACCAGAAATTTTACAAACTCTGCAATGTTTTCTTCAGAGGTCTACTTTTTAAATTCAAGAATTGTCGGAAAATTAATAAATTCTTGTTTAACGATATCTTTTTCAAAAATAGCTAACAGCTAACGACGAAAAGCAGACACATATTAATTTTTTAATTCCTCCTAACTCTGCATTGACCGCATTCAAATATTTTAAAATATCTTTCAGAAAAGCCACAGCCAGCATATTGCGCTCGTTTTTTATAAAGTTGAAGTGCTTTCTGGCTCCCTGCGTATCAAAGTTTCGCAAGGAGGAGGTTCTTTAATTAGCCAGAAACGTTCAATACCTTGACCTTTACTTAACCAACGAACATTGTTGTGTTGTAGTGAGTCAGAAAACGCAGAATCACATTCAGAAAGGAACCCTTTGAATGGGATCTCATGAAATTAATCAACTTGACCAAGTTGTCCATCACTTCTTTGAGTATAGCACTAAGTTTTCCACAAAGGGATGTCTGGTGAATCATGCACTGATACGATATTGGACCTGAATGTTTATCTCTGATTCTCGTTACCTTTTTCTCTGCCAATCATTTCTGGGGCTCCGTCAGTTGAAAACGAAAACATTTTATCATAACTGATGTTATATTTCGTAATAAAATCATCAATGTCCTTGAATAAGTCTTCTCCTCGAGTGTTACCCTTCAACGGCAATATTGTTATTACTGGAGTTTTTTCCCAGGTTTTCCCAGTTTTTCCCGGTTCCAGGTAGAAGATTGCTTTGATGAACAACAGGAAGGTACGGCCAAGGGAAATCCCTTATCCCCCTACCTGGCAGACCTGTTCATGAGCAGATTCGAAATGGAAACCAAAGAAAAGTCTAAGTATTTTCCTGGGATTTGGCTAAGGTATGTAGATGATATTTTCGCGATATTCGATACCAAAAAATCGAATATTGAGGACTTTGTTTCCTTTTTGAATAATAGATGTCCATCAATAAAATTCACGTATGAGTTAGAAAATAAAGGACAACCATTTCTTGACATTTTGGTAATGAGGAGCCAATATGCAGGGTTAGAATACGACATATCCAGAAAAGAAACAAGCACGCACAGGTATATTCCTGACAGTTCACATCACTGTGGACAGCACAACTGTGCTGGGTTGAATTTTTTTTAGCATCGTCTTTTGACTTTCCCTCTAACACATGAGAGGTTCAAAAAAGAAAGACGTGCAATACAGGAAATTGCAGCCATTAACGGTTTCTCGAGGGGTATTGTAGATGACATAATGAGGAAGAAGAAGTTTAGGTTAGGAATGAACGAAATCTCGACTTTCAGAAAGGACAAAAACCAAGATAAATACATCTCAGTTCCATACCACCAATATACGAAGAACTTTGGAAAGATTTTCAAGGAACTAGGTATGAATGTGGTTTTTAAAACAAGTCATACACTACAGAGCCTTTTGGGAAGTCCAAAAGAGAAAGTCGAGAATTCGGAAAAGTATGGAATTTACGAAATTGAATTTAAGGACAGACAAAAAGATCTATCAAAGTGAGATATAAGGAACACATAGCACACTAGAAATATGTAAGATCTGAAAAATCAGTAGTCGTCCATCATATTTTGCAACAAAACCATTCCATAGACTTCAGTTCATCAAGATTAGTTAGACAAGTTAACAACAACAGGCAACTAGATGCCTATGAGAGTGTGGAAATAAGTAAACATAATAATATTATGAATAACGATAACGGACCAATACCAAATAGCATATCATATAGCTTGTTGGAATAATATTGTTGGGTTTACTGATTACTACATAAGGACACATTGTAAATATATTTAGATAGGCAATATTGTGAAATTAATTTTTATATAGCTGAAAATTGTTTTATATATAGCTAAAACAGTTAAACATTACATAGGGACATATTGTAACATAATAGATAATGCTAATTGTAAAATTAATCAAGGGTGATATACCTGTATGGGTGGTATACCTGTATGGTTCACCTGTATGATAAATCTGTATAGCATAAATAGCTTTAGTTTCGCGAAGTTTCCAGTTTTATCTTCCTCTTGAAGATGATCACTTGGTGCTCGAAATACGTGTCGAGGTGTTGAAAATAACGATTTGGTGTTGGAAAAAAAATCCAGTAATATCCATTACTACACCAAAGGTTCCAAACAGTACATCATAAGGTAATATTGTTAGCAACTCTTCTTTAAAAATCTGACACTCAATGTCAAAAAAATCTTATGAAAATTGACATTTGTTCACCATCAACAATGTCACATGATTCATCAAGTGCTATAGCGTAGCAAGGTGCCTTTTGCAGCTGAAATTTCGGTTCTTCATGCAATACTTCTCGCTGACAATGGAATACTTTCAATTGCAGAGACAACATCTTTTCTTCAAAAAGTGACGTAACTACTGCCAACATACATTCCTTCACTATCACAGAATCTGAAAATAGTTTCTGGCGTTTATTAAGCGTCCAGCACACACGTAACGGTGCTTCTGTTGATTTTTCTTGGTCGTTCATGCAACAAGCTAGTAATTTTGTACTCTTTCAGTAAGAATTGAGATACGTCTGAATTTTTCCTTTACGAGCCTGACTGCCAAGAGGAAAGTTTTTGTGGAGCTGCTGATGAGTTGTTTCGTAGTGTCGCTTCAAATTTCCACTTTTAACAATAGCGACAAGTTTTATTGCATATAAGGCACACTGGAATTGCTTGAGGCTTATCAGGCAGTGTAAAAAAATGTTGTCCAATCCAGTCTGCCAAAAACGTTCTATTTTCACTGTCGACTTTTCGTTTTTTGTTATCCATATCAACGTAGGTACAGAAATATTTTTTATCAAGCAAACGAAAACGACAGAAATCACAAAAAAAATGTCCTGTTACTCCGTTGTTTGATGACTGGCAGTCTGCTTTTAGTGCTTTCCCACTCCCCCACTATCGATTTCGATACGCGCTCGTGCTTGTTTTTACAATTCAAAACAGGAGCAAGCAAGCTGAAGTAAGGTAAGTACCTACGCGGTGCGCTGTGGAATGTTTCCGCACATATTTCCGAAGAAATGTTACGAAGTTCAATCTATGGATGTTTTGTGTGCCTAACAGATATTTGAAAATACTCAATTCGCATCAGTCTGATTCGCACACACACAGGCTAGATAGGAAACTTATCAGTAGTAGGTGAAACAGGTTAACTAGGCAACTTGAAATAGAATACGTACTAAGTTAGATTTTATTTGTGTTATTTTAATTGATAAAGGTATGGTATACCTCATCTACGAATTTTTATATGTACCTGGTATATACAGTGCCTTCATTTCAAAACTTCCCACCCCTAGTACTTCATTTAGCAGGGAGAATTTGCCGTAGGCAAAAAACACGTCAATTTAGATATCGAGGGGGAAGTTTAAAACCAGTGCCAGTGGTATTTCAGGTTTAACCCCCTTACCCCTAACTACCCCCACTTAATAATTTCAAATGGCACCCCCTATCTTGTAAAACAGCATTATAAAGATCTTAAAAATCCTCACTCAACCCCGTTTAGAAAACTGAACACAAGTTTTAGAGACACAGTCTCTAAAACCTGCCTTGGCAACAATTCTCACAGCCTTTTTTTGTAGAACGAATACATGGTTATATTGACTTGATTCGCCCCATTGCACGGTTCCATATATGATATGTGAGTGACAGAGAGAAATATATTACATTTTGAGTATATCTGGACTTAGAACTTTTGCCAGACGTATAAGGGAAAATAATTGACTAGAGAGTTTTCTAGAAAGTTTTTCAATATGGCAAGACCATTTCGAAGTTGCATCCAATGTGATGCCCAAGAAATTTGCAACAGACCCTTTATTCAATGAAGAATTTGTCGAAAATGTGATGGATTGAGCTTTGCTCCGTTTATAAGTGACTAGGGTCCAGAATTTGATGTTTAAAGAAAGAATACCTGTACGTTATTCTCGATAGGTCATACCACTTTCTACAACATAAAAAGGCAGGTCGTCACTTTTTTGTTCATCAGCTTGTAACGTTCCCCTTATGAGTATTTTACAAAATTCTCGTTGAATTCGATGAATTACTGCGTAGATTCAATATATTCCTCAGTGAAGAAATTGAGCTGTTAGTATTCTGTATTATTTGATAATAGGTATGACCTATGAAAAAAGTTTCAATTTTTTAAAAGTGTAGAGCTCAAAAAACCCAAATAGGTCATGAATAGTGCCATCGCTTGATATTGTCCTGGCCGAAGGCCTTTCAATGGAGCATCTTCCCTCTATCTATCGAAACTACTGCCACGAGGACCCATGCTCCCCCAAATTAGCGGGGTAGAAAACCCTTTTCTTCATTTCTATAATGAACATTTACAATAAAATACTACATCAAAATAAATACAATATAACATAATGATTAAAATAAAACATTTCTTCTTTTATCTGTACATTGCTTGAATGCCCGAACAATATCCATGGTCGCCACCATTGGGGAGACCGCCACCAGCACTCCAAGTCCTCGGCACTCCAGATTTTTGGCACCAAGCTAACAGCCTGCTCTTTACCCTTCCCTTTCATCCCTCACCACACTCTCCGCCCATTTATTAATAAACCTTATCCATTCACTATTATTTCCATTCTCTCCTCTCAGTGTTATCTCCCCATTTTCTCGCTCCTTATATTCTCTCCATTCACGCCACCCAATCCTGTCTCCATCCATACATCTTTCTATCACATGTTCCGCCGTTTCGGGCTCACCGTAGCGGCAGAAACAAGGCACTTCCGGGCCCAGGTTAAACCTGGCAAGGTATCCCGGAAAATTACCATGTCCCGTGAGCAGCTGGGTGGGCTTCCGCGACAGATTCAATGATTCACTCCCGACTGTCCTGCAGAATCTGTAGAACAGCCGCCCAGTCTCTCCCGTGTCCCTTTCCCTCTGCCATTCTATCCTGATTCGTTCTTCAATCATCTTCCTTTCTTCACTCTTACTCCCTATTCTCACTACTTCCCATGTAATCTCCGTTTTTCTCATTCCCTTTGTTGCTTCCTCGTGCGCTTTTCTATTACCAAGATTGTTGTTCTCATGGCCGCGCTTCCAGATTAAACAGGTCCGTGCTCCTCTCACTTTCCTCTCCTCTATCATCCTCTGTATACGCGCTACCCTCTTATTCCTCGTTCTTCCTGCTTTCAAACGTTCCACAGCCATAGCAGAATCGCTTACCACAGTTACACTCTCATTCATATCCCACATACCTATCACTCTCTCGATCGCAACCAGTTCTGCCTCATTCACACTACTCTGTCCGGGGATTCTTTCGTTCCTCTGTACCCATTCATTTTCCTCCCGTTCGTATGCCCAGCCTATGCCCATTCGTTCGTCTTCCAATTTCGCCCCAGCATCCACATACACTTATCACTCTCTCGTCCACCCTTTCCTCCAGCAACATTCCTTGCATCCATGGGAGTATTCTATCCTCTCCTTTCACTCTTTCCTCTCTCTTTCTTCTCCCATTCACCCTCCACTCCTGGTGTCTGGCGCTCGCTTCCACATGAAGCGATGCCATACCTGAGATAACTAAGAGCACAGCCGTTGGCGCCGTCCTATACGCTCCACATGAAGCCGTTAGGAAGGGCCTCTGCGCCGCGCTCAGTTGTCTCCTGATTCGGCTATCATGCGTTCTACTCCCCCACACTTGTACACCATACATGATCGCAGGTTTCGCCACTCTCTCGTATATTATTCTCACACATTCTCTCCTCAGTCCAACGTCTCTCCCGGTCCATCTTCTTATCTTACCCGCTATCGCATTCAGTTTTTTTCTTGTTCCCTTGTGGTGGTCTATGAATAATAATCCAGTATCCACCACAATTCCCAAGTACTTCACATTCATACTCTGCTCTGACCCAAATAGGTCAGTGGAAAACTACGATTAGCGCTATAAAATATGATAGTTGTTGCATAGTGATTCAATATCTCACTCAACATCAGCATTCTGCTCACTAATACCTACCTATAACCAGCGGTCCACTCGAAGTTATCCATCAAACTCCATACAGCATATCCCCTCACATTCACCTTGTCTTCGACGATTGCTTCTAGTGTAGCTTTCAGATAACGCTGAAAGAAATAAATATGCAAATAAAATTAATTAATTCATAGGCGGAGAAGTCAGCTTAGGATGATTTTATCAATAACCTTCGCGACCGAACTGAGAAGCGAGATCGGTCAGTAGCTATCAATACGTGTTTTTATATCGGTTATCGATAGTCTCTTCATTCACCTTCCGGTAATCGACTATGATACGCCATTTCTGTTTATCACAGTCATCTGGAGATAGGACTGCTCCAAGGATTCTGGATTGGCCTCTGAATGCCGCCATCCAACATTTTATTGTAAAACTTTCAATCTCACAGACGAATGAAAAAAATGTAGAAAGGAATTTTCCATTGGAACTGATTTATATCAAACTCGATACTGCACGTCAAAAGCTTGATATTTTCTGTCAAAACCTTCAATATTCAACAACAGTCACATTGAAATACTGAATGCAATATTATTTTCAGGCAAATAGGAAAGGAGAGAGGATGCGGATTTATCACTGTTGATTGTACAAGCCATTTCACTGCCTGTGCGGTGAAGAGACTGGGATTCGAACTGTATTACTCTTTGAACTATGAAGATTACAAAGTTGATGGTCAAGTCGTCTTGAAGCCGCAAGAACCCCACAGAGCTTTTACCGTTTATACGAAGAAGATAGATTAATTTATTAGATGTTTTATTATAGATAACAAGTAGTAGAATGGATGAAAACAACATTTAAGTGGCATTATTTTTTCCTACACTTTCCAGTGTCATTGTGAAGGTTGTAGCTGAAAGTGTCTCAAGACAACCAATAATACTGATAAACACACAGTTTGCTGTCGGAATTTTTTTACTGTTTCTAGATAATTTGGGTCTGCTGAATCCAAAAATGGCCACCAGATTTGCTCCATCAGATCGTTTTCAGAAAATATGACAACAGATCACATTTCTAACATATAGGGTAATTTAACACAGCACTACCTGCATATATGTAGTGCTGCTACCCATCAAATAAACGAAACACGAATAAAAAGTAAAATATTTATTGTACAACAATATACTTACAAGAATCATCACACATGTCTGCCAAAAAAACTTAACTTTTCATGTAACCTGTAACCTAATCAGCATCGCAGCACAAATCTGTTATTCGGCGTCACCTAAAAACTTCCTTTTATATGATTTTCTTGCAAAGGCTTTGAAAGGACGGTCCCTTTGAAAACTCCAGCAGTAATCCGCCATCATGTGAGTGTCCCATCTCCTCTGATACCTCTCTTCCATCGTTATGATATCTTGGTGGAAGCGTTCCCCTTGTTCCTCACCAAGGTCACCAAGATTTTCTGGGAAACGGTCTAAGTGGCTGTGGAGGTAATGACTTTTAATACTCATATGACAACCGTGTTTGTTGAAATTGTTGAGCATTTCTTCCGCTAAATCCCGGTAATTTTCCTATTTATTGTTTTTTTAATTCTGCATCAAAATCCAAGTTACTTTTTTGAATCATGTTCTATACCTATCTCTCACCGTTTTTAAAATAATGATCATTTTGTAATTTTTTTTTTGGCAAAAACATGGTATTTTTAATATTTAATATCGCATGAATTGAATGATACATCGAACTCAAATTTTGGAAATATTGAGAAAAGGTATGGTGGTCAGTAATTCAAAACGAAATTCGAATATTATTTTATAGAGAGTGTCTGAAAAATACGACTCAATTTGTATCTTTGAAAAACGACCATAACTAATTTTTTTTCAAATGGAACACCCTGTATATTATTCAATTTTCGAATTCAGCCAATCAATGTGAACAACTTCGATCAACTATGTATTTTAACTATCTCTGACCGTTTATGAAATATTAATTCTTCTATAATTTTTTTGCTTCTATACACATTTAACATTTCAATCACAAAAGTCAGCGAAAAATGTATTTATTGAATACATTAAATAATGAATAATAACTTTATATCAGTTCAGAAAGGTTTGATGGAATACATGAATGAAATTTCATAGTGGGCGAATGACAAACAATTGCTAGTTTGACCGAAGAACGAACTTTTCAAAATTAAACTGATAACAAAATTAATTCTACACTAAAAAATCAGAGATAATATTGTAAAACTAGCTTCGCAATTATTTGACATTATTTGATACTGACATGACAAAAATTCACTAGCTCAAGTCTCAGGTACTTGAAATGCTGACCATTCGCTTGTAAACATTGATGGATTGATGATGTTATTGTGTGATAAGTCGTGGCTCTAGCTTATCAAACTCGATCTTTCAGTTCCTGTTCCGTATTGATAGGTGTTCTATATATCTTTTTTTAGATTTTTCCCCAGAGGTAAAAATCTAGAAACTTCATCAGTCGTGAGCATACAAAAAAACATTAAAACTGATTATTTCGACTGAATATTCCCTGACGTGAAATAAATGAATATAAAACAAATTTAGGATTTTAAGAGTTCGAATAATTATTATTATCCATCTTCACTATTCAATATGACAGTCGAACTATTTAAACAGGTTATTGTCAAATCCATTATTTTGTTTTTTAAATCAGACTTAGATCATGATACACTTAGATCATGATCCTTGCCGAAATTCAGTTGCGAAATTGAAAATTAATGTTTGAATTAAAACTCTTTTGATATTCGAATAGTATATTGGAAATAAAAAAAGATTCACCATATGTATTGAATTTTTCAGACTGATTTAATGAAATTCAAAAGTATTTCTTGTGTATTATTATGCTTGATTTTTAATTTTATTGGAAATTGTATACTTGCATAGTAGCAAATGTTTTTTATATTTCATAAATAAAGATAGGTATAGGACATAGTTGATAGAAGCTGTTAACATTGGTTGACTGAATTCGAAAATTGAATAATATACAGTGTGTTCCATTTGAAAAAAATTAGTTATGGTCGTTTTTCAAAGATACAAATTGAGACGTATTTTTCCAACAATCTGTACAAAATAAGATTTGAGTTTTGTTCTGAAATAATTACCTCCAGAATTTGAGTTCGATGTATCAGTTAATTCATGCGATATTAAATATTAAAAATACTATGTTTTTGCCAAAAAAAATTACAAAATAATTAATATTTTAAAAACGATGAGAGATAAGTGAGCTATCAACAAATTATGAACGGACTATAGGTCATGATACAGTTAGATCATGATCCTTGCCGAAATACAGTTGGGAAATTGAAACTTAATGTTTGAATTAAAACTCTTTTGATATTCAAGTAGATTATTAGAAATAAAAAAAAGGTTCACCATATGTATTGAATTTTTCAGACTGATTTAATGATATTCAAAAGTATTTCTTGTGTATTATTATGTTTGATTTTTAATTTTATTGGAAATTGTATACTTGCATAGTAGCAAATTTTTTTTATAGTTGATAGAAGCTGTTAACATTTAGATCATGATCCTTGCCGAAATACAGTTGGGATTATGTTTTTGCCAAAAAATATTACAAAATAATCAATATTTTAAAAACGATGAGAGATAAGTATAGAACATGTTCAACTAAAGTAATTTGGATTTTGATGCAGAATTCAAAAATGGTTTAGTATATAGGGTGTTTTGTTTGAAATTTCCAAGTTGATGTCTGTTACATGTAGAGGTGGCAACAATGCGGCGATGAAAATATTTTCAAACCATAGATCACAAGCATCTCTTGATGCGTCTAATAGGCCATCGAATATGGAATACCCTGTATATTTCTGAGATTTTCACGTATCTAAAAATAAAAAAAATATTCGAAACTGCAAACAGTTTCCCGATGTTTGCAGCGGGTTAATACTATACCACACTAAACTTGCTGTCGAGTCATGTATATCTTGTCGCCGTCTTTTCCGTTATTGATCCAAAATTGGATACCTTATTATTCCCCAGATCTGCCTGCGGTTACGTTTCAGGATCTTGCCGTCTCCACGTTTGAAATACATGCAGTGTACCTCATAAAGAAGAATGTTACACACATGTGACGACGGATCCATATATTCCCACAATAAAAATTCGAATTTGTTAGACACGGAACGTGATCGATTGTGTGAGAGTTCGAGAAACGAGGAAGGGATCAAAGGCCTTCGCTCCTACGAAAGGGATATTGGTCTAGAGATTATGGTGGGTGTTGAAGAAAAATGAAAACCGAAAATCTTCTTTTATATAGGGCCTTCCAACGAAAATTTGACCCCCCTGCAAGTCAGAAACGGACGTGTAATCGAAAATTTCAAAAAACACGTCAGTTTTTATTTCTAGGGAGACTAATTCTGATATGGAAATCACACCCGAAACTTCACCTCCCCCTATTTTTTCAATGGCATGGGGGGTCGAGTGATACATCATTTGAAAGGCCTTTTGTCCCTCTATTACTTCTGTGATTTTTTTTAAATTGGTTCATTCGTTATTGAGAAATAAAATGTTGAACGTTTTATTTAAGAAAAAACAGAAAATTTGCTGTCGCTCGTTTTATTGAGGAAATCAACAAAAGTAATATCAATGGCAACACAATCAACGGATAAAGTGTTCTAAATGACCTCCATCTAGTTCCATACAATGATACATTCTGATTTCGAAAGCGTTCCTTACATTATTGGAGATGTTCTTAGGCAGAAATCGGCATTACCAAACTATTCTCTGTCGCAGGTCTTCTAGATTTGTAGAATGGAGAATGTTCCTCAATTTGGGTTATTACAGCATATGCAAGTTTGAACAAAATAGAGTTGAGTTCAACTCATGAGATTTTCAAATTCTTCCCGAAAAGTATTCAAATTGATGTTTCAGATNTAATGTTCTGATTTCAACATATGATTGTTTGTTGAATTCCGAAACGTCTTTGCTTTTTGTAATTAGGACTCCAGAAATGTTTTTATGTTATTCATTGGGAACAAATTGAATATACCCTACTCAGCTTGAAATTATTTAATGTTTTTCCTTCAGGAATGTAAGGAAATAGGTAGAAATATTACCAAACTCACTAGAGGAGAAATAAGAATTTCCAAAAACGTGAAAACAGAGAATGTTG